TGCAAGAGGCAGCTGATCGATGACTCTCATCAATGTTTCTATCTCTCTCCCTTCCTTTCTGTACAAAATCAAAATATATATTTTTTAAATAAAATAAAAATAAATAAATAAATAAATAAATAAATAAATAAATAAATAAATAAATAAAAATTGAATTGATTCCCACTATACTCAGAATTCAAGATTTCTTAACATGGGTTGCAAGGCCCCTCCTAATCTGGCATCCAATTAATCTATTCAGCTCCATTTATTGCATCTCCTACTGGCTATGCTCTACTCATTTGGAATTATCAATTCCCTAAACCTATTGTCTCTGCTTTTCTGTTAATATGTTTTACTGATTTTTTACAGAGAGGAAGGAAGGGGGATAGAGAGTTAGAAACATCAATGAGAGAGAAACATCAATCAGCTGCCTCCTGCACACCTCCTACTGGAGATGTACCTGCAACCAAGGTACATGCCCTTGACCAGAATGAAACCTGGGACCTTTCAGTCCACAGGCCGACGCTCTATCCACTGAGCCAAACCGGTCAGAGCTCTGCTTTCTTGTTTCTGTATGTATATATGTCTATCCCTATCTCTTCCAGGCTTTTGCTATGTTCCTCCTACTAGGAATATCTCTCCTCTAGGTTTTATTTATTTTTTTAATTTTATTTATTAATTTGAGAGAGAGATTTGTTGTTCTACTTATTCATGTATTCATTGGTTGACTCCTGTATGTGCCCTAACCAAGGATCAAACCCCAAACCTTGGTGTACTGGGACAATGCTCTGACCAACTGATCTACCTGGCCCAGGGCTCTCCTCTAGGTTTAAGATAAGAAGTTATTTCTTCTGAGAGGCCTTTCTTGACCTCCCACTTTTGTGACTCTTACCATTTCCCCACTGTATTACAACACTGATGTATGTATCTGTATTTCCGTTAATCTTTAAGATTTTTGAGGACATACACCCTGAATTGCTCATGGCACTATTCCCTGGATCTGAACAATGCCTGGCACACAGCAGTCTATCAATAAATACTTAATTTATTAGTAAGATTCTATTCACAACTCAAAAAAAAAAAAAAGTTCATCCCAAAATTTCTGTTAAAACGTCATTATCACATTTTGAAATAGTTCTTAAAATTCCAAAGTTTTCTTTTGACTTCTAGAATACTTGCAACCACCTTTCCTGAAAGAGACCTTAAACACATTTTAATACCCAAGAGAAATGTATTGTAGAAAAGACTGAATAGAAATTAGCCAGTTACTACACACAACAGCTCCTAATTTCTATTAACAAATATGAATTCATTCAACAACTTTAGAGAAATATTAAACTAAAATCTCTTTTACAACTGAGGTTCTATACTTTCATTAAGTGCATGTCTACTATGCACAAGTCTTTAGCATTCCATAGTAACAAACTTGTCTTCTCAGAGTATTTTCTCTTCCCTCACATTTTGTCTACCTTCTGATTACCTATTAATTTGTACCTATTTTATAGTGTCTGTGTATTCCTTATCTCAAGAATTAATCTGATTGCCCTGGCGAGTGTGGCTTACTTGGTTGGAGCATCATCCCATACGCCAGAAGGTCTCGGGTTCAATTCCTGGTCAGGCTCATACCCAGGCTGCCAGTTTGATCCCTGGTCAGGGCGCTTATGGGAGGCAACCAATATCACATCAATGTTTCTGTTTTTCTCTCTCTTCCCCTCCCTTCCTTTCTCCCTTCCTCCCTCCCTCTCATTTCCTCTCGCTCTAAAATTAATTATATAATATGTTCTAGAAATTCGTGTAGCGACTCAACCCTCACAGCCCTGGCTTCGTCCAGAAGGTTGTTTACCTGTCTGGTCTAATTAGTATATTACACTTTTATTATTAAAGATATATAGCCTCAAGTGACAGGGAAGGGGAAAATTATTCTGATTATATCCGTGTATTTTGTATATGTGTGGCCTAACTGCCCTCCCCTGCAGGCCTGGTCACCCCAACTGCTCTCCCCTTCATGCCTAGGTCCCCCCTAACTGCCCTTCCCTACAGGCCTGGTCACCCCCAACTTCCCTCCTCTGCCAGCCTGGGCCCTCCCAACTGCCCTCCCCTGCTGGCCTGATTGCCCACAACTGCCCTCCTTAGCTGGCCTGGTCCCTCCCAACTGCCCTCCCCTACTGGCCATCCTGAGGTGGCCATCTTGTGTTCACATGGGGACAGGATCTTTGATCACATGGGGGCAGCCATCTTGTGTGTTGGAGTGATGGTCAATCTGCATATTACTCTTTATTAGATAGGTAGAAGCCTGGTGCACAGGTGAGGGCTGGCTTGTTTGCCCTGAAGGGTGTCCTGGATCAGTGTTGGGGTTCCCTTGAGGCATGGGGCGGCCTGGGTGAGGGGCCTGTGGTGGTTGGCAGGCTGGTCACGCCCCCCCAGCAACCCAAGAGGAGGCCCTGGTACCTGGTATTTATTCATCTTCTATAATTGAAACTTTGTAGCCTGGAGCGGAGCCAAGCCTTCTGCTCGCTTCCTGGCAGCAGCCATTTCTGTTGGGATTTATTTATTTTCTATAATTGAAACTTTGTAGCCTTAAGCAGAGGCCAAGGCAAACCAGGGCTGCAGAAGCTTGGCTTCCTCCATTGCTGAGGACAACCCTAGCCTCCTGCTCTCTCCAGCTCTGTGGCTGCCGGCATTTGGGGGGGATTTATTTATCCTCTATAATTGACACTTTGTAGCCTTAAGCTGAGGCCACGGCAGGCCAGGGTGTGCAGAAAGCTTGGCTTCCTCCATTGTGAGGAAACCCAAGCCTCCTGCTCCCTCCCTGGCTGCAGCCATCTTGGTTGGGTTAATTTGCATACTCACTCCTGATTGGCTGGTGGGTGTGGCTTGTGGGTTTAGCAGAGATACAGGCATTTGCATGTTACTCTTTTATTAGATAGGATCCTTTTACCATAAATACTACAATTTAAATATATATGTGGTCAGAACCCCAAATTTTATTAAGATACATGAAAAAAGACTAATGAAGTCAATCATGTTTCTAATAGTTCATCACTATTTGTAAAAAATAAAAGTTTAAAAATCCCCAAAACTTAATAGAAATTTATAATACATTAAGAACAACCTAAGGTATTTTCCCTTTTGCAGTCTTACAGATACCATAGTCTACTGAAGGTCTCCAACTTGACTCAGAAATAGAAAAGCCTGTGACCAAGAAATAAGCCACGTAGATAAAGACAGAAACAGAATTAAAGCCATTAAGTGAGTCACTGCATCTCACCACACTCTAGGTTTTGTCTATACCTAACAAAAATATTGCACTAGAAGAAATAATGAGGTTAAAACAATCTGAGTTCCTTAAGGGGTGGTAGGATAGCATAAAAACTAAAATTCAACAGGTAGCATATTAAACCATCTCTAAAAAACCTGAATAAAAGATTAATAATCTTCAATACCTGATTCTCTACAAAGAGTTTTCTATATAAACATAATCAACAATATGTATTAACTTATGCACACACTAATTTCATCATTTTCTCAATAACAATGATCTGCTTAACCATTGGGAAACCCATTACATCTTTAATCACAAACGTTTTTAAATATTAAGAAAAGTTATTCCACTCTTCATCCCAATTTAATTACAAATTTTACTTTACCTATTTTGACGTGATGTTTCATACCCACAGGCTAATGCATCAAACATCTAGCTATAATTGCAAAGCAAAAAAAAAATAAAACTAGCTTTAATTGTAAAACAGCAACTTGCATACAATCTGCAGTAGCCAAAACAATGTAAAATTTTATTTAGCCAGATCTTGCACCTCAAACACTACCTACATTAACAGTGGAGCCCGTTCTCTGCATCTAAGAAATTATCAGATAAAGGAGAGATCTAAAAAAAAAAAAAAAAAAAAAAAAAAAGTACTAATATTCTGACCTCTTTCCAAAATGACAATTTAGAACGGGCAAAATCATACTCGGGCACAACGAAGTACACTTCTCTCAAATCACTCCACAGAGAACTTCATCATTTGCTCCGCCCTCTAATAACTCATGCAAAAAAAAGTTCAGCACCAGCAGAGAGAGAAACAAGCCACAGAGAATTCACAGAATGGCTTTAGGGCCTTTCCTGCGGGCGGTGAGAGGTTCTGCGTGCGGCCTTTGCGAGGGTCCAAGGGAAAATAGAAACCGAGAGTGTGGGGAATTACTGACATGCAGAAACCGATTTTTCTCGCAAAGAAGTTTCTGCCGCCATCCCTATTTTATCAGCAGGAGGCCCCGGCGCCATGGGCTCAGCCTTGGTTTTATTATGGGGAGGAGGGGAACGGCACCCAGGATTCCTCCAGGCCTATCCTATTAAGTTGGGGGTGGGGAGGTGGGGTCCCCTCATTCTCCTCTCAAAACCTCACACTGGAAGGTGCTCCTCCGCAGCCCTCCCTTTCGGGCGGCCTATCCCGCGGGATCGGTTAAGGCGCCGCCGTTAAGGACGGGAGGCCCCAGCCACTCCAGGGCCACCAGCCATGGCTCCGAGGGGCCCAGACAAGGGAAGGGCAGGCCGGGGAGAGGGAGAGAATGACCTGGCCGAGGAAGAAAGGAAGGAGGGAAGGGGATGATGCCCTGCACCCCAAGGATGCACAGAAAAGAGATGATGGTGGTGAGGAAGGAAGAGGGCGGTGGCCCGGGTGCGGCCCCCCACCCCTGCCCCCTCCCCCCCAGGTCCCTGGGCCGGCGGCGGGGGGCGGATGGGCTCGGCCCATCCTCCGGGTCTGGGCTGACAGGGGGTGGGGAGCCTCCCTCCACACCACAAGGAGACCGAGAACCGGGGTTTGGGGGTTTGCGTGGGGGGAGGGGGAGGCAGTCTGCCGCCTGAACCCGGAGACCCGCCGCCGCCGCCGCCGCCGCCTCCTCGGGGGAGAGGAGGACGGGAGCTGCGGGGAAAGCATGAAGGTGAGGGGGGAAGCCCGGGGCGGACATGCCGCCCGCGCCAGACCCCACTCTTCCACCTTCCGGTAGCCGCGGCCTCTTACCGGTGATGGCGGTGAACTGCTGGATTAACCCCTTCAGCGCCGAGGACGCCGCGGAGCCCCCGTGGGCAGCCATCTTACCGCCGCCGCCGCTGCCGCGGAACAACAACACAGACACACACGGGCCGCCCTCCCCCACCGCGCCGCGCGGTTTGCGCAGGCGCAGAGGCCGCCGCCAGGCCCCGCCCCAGGCCCCGCCCCCCCGCCGGGGCCGGCGCAGGCGCACTGCCCGGCGCGTCCGCCAGTGGTCTCTGCTCCAGGTTGGCTGGTCCATTGCTCGCGGCGGCAGCGGCCGGCCGCTGTCTTCTTTGCAGCCTCTGGTGCCTTTGCTCTCCAAGCTCCAAGGCCATTCTTCTCTAGACGCAGTATTGGTTTCTGGTTTCCGAAGGAATTTTCGGGCTTGGCAGGTAGCAGGCTTTTCGCGTTTCAGTTTCACAAGCCTTATGGGCAGACCCACCTGCCCATGACATTTTTTTTCCTCCTTTTTTTGCAGCTCCGTAGCCTTCTGCTAAGTCCTCCTGTAGCTCCCATCAAAATACAAATGCTACATCATCGCACTGAAGCGACTTTTTCCGCAGTGCTTCGCAACCTCTAAACTAATTGCACAGCTGACCTCGTGCGGGGACCCAATCCAATGGAAGTAAAATACCAGAACCCTTCGTGCCAATCAAGCACTGGGTGCGGAGTCTGACACATGGTAGATTCTGATAAACTATTGTCCAGTCCACTTTCCTTCAGTAAATTTGTCAGTATGGCTCCCCTCCAGGTTCCAGTTGGAGGAGGAGGAGGAGGAGGAGGAGGAGGAGGAGGAGGAGGAGGAGGAGGAGGAGGAGGAGGAGGAGGAGGAGGAGGAGGAGGAGGAGGAGGAGGAGGAGGAGGAGGAGGAGGAGGAGGAGGAGGAGGAGGAGGAGGAGGAGGAGGAGGAGGAGGAGGAGGAGGAGGAGGAGGAGGAGGAGGAGGAGGAGGAGGAGGAGGAGGAGGAGGAGGAGGAGGAGGAGGAGGAGGAGGAGGAGGAGGAGGAGGAGGAGGAGGAGGAGGAGGAGGAGGAGGAAGGAGGAGGAGGAGGAGAGGAGGAGGAGGAGGAGGAGAGGAGGAAGGAGGGAGGAGGAAGGAGGAGGAGGAGGGAAAGAAGGAGAGAAGGAAGAGAGAAGGAGTGAGTAGATGAAGTGTCCTCAAAATGATATGGTTACCCCTAGAGAGGAAGGCCATAGGCAGGTGGTGAAAGGGGATTTTGAGGAGGTTCTTATCCTATTTATGTATGCATTTATTTTATTAATCCTCACCCGAGGATATTTTTCCATTGATTTTTAGAAGGGCTAGGAGGAAGAGGAAGAGACAGAGAGAGAAAAACATACAAGTGAGAGAAACATATGGATTGGTTGCTTTCCTTAGGGGCTGGGCATTGAGCCTGAAACCAAGGTAAGTGCCACTTGACCAGAATTGGAAACCAGGACCCTTCAGTCCACTGGCCAGCACCCTATCCACTGAGCCAAACCAGCTGGGGCTATCTTTTATTTTTAAACGAAGGCAATATTAGTACATTACTTACATAATTTTAAATATTTTTAAAATCCTCATCAGGTATATGTGTTTATTGATTTTTTTTTTAATTTTTTTTATTTCAGAGAGGAAGGGAAAGAGATAGAAACACCAATGATGACAGAGAATCATTGATTGTCTACCTCCTGCATGCCCCCTACTAGGGATCCAGCCAGCAACCCAGATTTGGGCCCTGACAGGGATTCGATCCATGACCTCCTGGTTCATAGATCAACACTCAACCACTGAGCCACACTGGCCAGCTTTATTGATTTTTCTAGAGGGAGAAGAAGAGATATAAAGAAAAAACACACATTGGTATGAAAGAGAAACATGCACATCCCAACTGGGGATCAAACACACAGTCTTTTGATGTAAGGACGATGCTCCAACCAACTGAGCCACCTGGCCAGACTTTAGTATTTTTAAAAACAGTTGTAGGGGTACACTCAAATCTGATGATCTCCCTCCTTGAGAATAAAGTTAAAGAGACCAGCCGAGACCGGTTTGGCTCAATGGATAGAGCATCGGCTTGGGGACTGAAGGGTCCCGGGTTTGATTCCCGTCAAGGGCATGTACCTTGGTTGCAGGCATATCCCCAGTAGGGGGTGTGCAAGAGGCAGCTGATCAATGACTCTCTCTCATCGATGTTTCTAACTCTCTATCTCCCTTCCTCTCTGTACAAAATCAATAAAATATATATTTTTAAAAATAAATAAAAATAAAGTTAAAGAGACTCAGTGTAGATTCTAGCTTCCCACCTCCCAACCACACCTACATATTTTGCATCTAAATATGAAATGGTCCAAGAAAAGATGAGATGAGTCATTTGGATAATTGACCTTATCCTAAGAGTCTATAAATGTACTATTGGGGTGAACCAAGAGATAACAAAGTCAAGGTAAATATAAGGTTATGTCCTTTCAGGAAGATATGACTGGTGTATAAGAAAGCAGATTCCTACCCTAGCAGTTTCACTCAGCGGATAGAGGGTCGGCCTGCAGACTGAAGGGTTCTGGGTTCAGTTCCGGTCAAGGGCACATGTCCCCGTTGTGGGCTTGGTCTCCGATAGGGAGGCATGCAGGAGGCAGCTGATCAATGATTCACTCTCATCATTGATGTTTCTGTCTCTTCCCCTCTGAAAACAATAAAAGTTCGAAAAATAAAGCAGATTCCTAACCGTGAGCATTGCCAGTTAAGTGGCAAAGATTGATCCTGGCACCGCCTTTCAGGGTGCTGCAGGTCCCTATGTCAGTTTAGGAATCCCAGGGACCAGTCATGGATTTGGGAAGCTGTTTGGTTAACATTGACACCTGGGTGCAAAAAGAAGGGGAAACCAGAGCAAGAAACAATATGATCTCTTCCTTCCTAAGGCCTTAATCCGAAAGGCTGTGTCAGGATAGCCAAACATGCAAGATCAGGCTCCAAATAAAATGGTATAATACCGTTGACTACAATAACTAGATGCAATTATCACTGCACCTCCATTAAATGGAAAGGATAATAATGAGATCTGGATGTTTATTTCCAAGTCTTAAAATTCAAAAAATACAGATATTTACTTATTTTTACCCACGAATTTAATTTTTTTAATAATTTTTATTGTTGAAAATATTACATATGTCCCGTTTTTCCCCCCATTGACCTCCTCCAGTCCACACACACACACACACACACACACCCCATCCTCTGCCCCAACCCCAGGCCTTCACCACCCTATTGTCTGTGCTCATGGGTTAGGCATATATGCATACAAGGTCTTCAATTTATTTATTCCCACCCACCCACCCTTCTCCGCCTTCCCTAGGGAATTCTACACTCTGTTCCATGCTTCTATGTCTCTGGATCCACTCCGTTCATCAGTTTATTTTGTTACTTAGATTCCACATATGAGTGCAATCATGTAATATTTGTCTTTCTCTTACTGGCTTATTTCACTTAGCATGATACTCTCCAGGTCCCTCCATGCTATCTCAAAGGGTAAGAGATTCTTCTTTTTAACTGGTGCATAGTATTCCATGCTATAAATGTACCATGGCTTTTTTTAAAAATATATTTTAATGATTTTTTACAGAGAGGAAGGGAGAGGGATAGAGAGCTAGAAACATCAATGAGAGAGAAACATCGACCAGCTGCCTCCTGCACAGGCCCAGGAGTAGACTGTGTTTCCCCTTTTTCCCCACATCCTCACCAGCACTTGTCATTTGTTGATTTGCTGAGGTAGCCATTCTGACAGGTATGAGGTGTACCTCATTGTTGTTTTAATTTGCATCTCTCTGGTGATCAGTAACTTTGAGCATTTTTTCATCTGTCTCTTGGCCATCTGTGTGTTCTCTTTGGAGAAGTGCCTATTTAGGTCCTTTGCTCATTTTTTAATTGGATTGTTTTACTTCATTCTGTTAAGTTGTATGAGTTCCTAATATAATTTGGACATTAACCCTTTATCAGATCTATCATTGGCAAATATGTCCTCCAATGTAGTGGGCTCTCTTGTTGTTTTGTTGATGGTTGCTTTTGTTGTGCAGAAGCTTTTTATTTTGATGGAGTCCCATTTGTTTATTTTCTCCTTCATTTCCTTTGCCTTAGGGGATATATCTGTAAAAATACCGCTACAGAGATGCCTGAGATTTTGCTGCCTATGGTTTCACAACTTACATTTAAGTCTTTTATACATTTTGAGTTTATTCTTGGTATAGTGTAAGTTGGTGATCTAGTTTCAGTTTTTTGCATGTATTTGTCTAATTTTCCCAACACCATTTATTGAAGAGACTCTCCTGACTCCATTGTATGCTCTTGCCCCCTTTGCCAAATATTAATTGAGCATAATGGCTTGGGTCAATTTCTGTGTTCTATTTCTGTTCCATTGATCTATATGCCTGTCTTGTGCCAGTACCAGGCTGTTTTGATTACAGTGGCTTTGTACTATAACTTGAAATCTGGTATTGTGATTCCTCCAACTTTATTTTTCTTTCTCAAGATTGCTGTAGCTATTCAGGGTCTTTTTTTATTTCGTATAAAATTTTGGAATATTTCTTCTATCTCTAAGAAACATCTCATTGGTATTTTAATAGGGATTACACTGAATCTGTAGATTGCTTTGGGTAGAATGGACATTTTAATGTTGATGTTGATGCTACCAATTTATGAACATGGTATATTCTCCCACTTGTTTATATCCTCCTCTATCTCTTATTTTAAATGTCCGATAGTTTTCCTAGTATAGGTCTTTTGCCTCCTTGTTTAAGTTTATTCCTAAGTATCTTAATTTTTTATTGCAATGGTAAATGGGATTATTTATTTAGTTTCTCTTTCTGAGAATTCATTATTGGGGTATAAAAAAACTATCGATTTTTGGGTACTAATTTTGTATCCTGCTACATTGCCAAATTCTTTTTTTTTTTTCTTTTTTTTAATATTTTTTATTGATTTTATACAGAGAGGAAGGGAGAGAGATAGAGTTAGAAACATCGATGAGAGAGAGTCATCGATCAGCCGCCTCTTGCACACCCACTACTGGGGATATGCCCGCAACCAAGG